AGAATGGGTCCTCATTTTAGCCTGTGACAGTGGAGGTGTCTGCTCGTCAATCGTGGACGCACGGTGTCCGCACTAATGTGTCGCTGGTGTGTCCACATGGTCTGTCGAGCAGTTTCCGCAGCAGTAACAAAACGATCTTGAAGATGCTGTCGCACCATCTGACGATCCCGACGTCGACTGGTGACCCTTGGTCTTCCACTACGTGGTCGGTCATCTGTAGTGTTGGTGGTCTGGTTCAGTTGCTGGAACCTGTATATGGTCCTTGCGTGGACTTGAAATGCATTGGCTACTTGCCGGGCGGTTTGTCCAGCTTGCAATCGTCCAAGGGCTTGGTGTCACTGATTGCTTGTCAATCTTGGCATGTGGTAGCAATTCAATAACGAATGAATGTTATCCGATCTGGGTGGATTTTTATAGGGCAAGAAATGGGGGAACGCATGTGCATTTCAATTTGCACGGAACTCACGTGCATCAGGTTACATGACCGTTGCCGTGATGCGTTTGGGAGATCGTTTATATTGTCACCTGCTTTGTTTTTGTATCATCAAATTTCATTTTGCCGGACAAGGTAATGTTAAATTTTAGAAGCTTTGCCAAAAATTACCCAGATATTTAAATGACAACTTTTCATGCAATGTTACTTGGGGTGACGTTTCTTTTGCGGTTCAGTACATACCCCTCCAAGGTCAACACATTGAGGCTGGAGTGCATGGATCTCACTGGTGCAGAAAGCTTCATCATGTGCACAGTCCTCCACAGCAGAAATTACGCCATCGTCACTTGCATAATTCTTGCCAGACAGTGCCCCCGGGCCCGGGCCTCTAGAAGAAAACTCGGCTGTTTCAGTCAATCCAACTGCACCTCCATCTTCTTTCATACAGCTATTGAATTGTTCATTTGTCTGACCTTGTGTCACACCAGTGTCTGTTTAGTCTTGTGTGTCACTAATCCACCGGAACATTATTCGTGGTACAGCGATGCTTGTGCTCTACTGTAAGAGGGACATATCTGTGAAATGCAAGTCATATGCAAGTCATGACAAGTGATGCTGCAAACTTCTGTTTTTTGAATTGCACCCACCAGGCACAATATGCAAAGTTCTTGTCCAAGAACAAGGGGCCAGTAGTGAAACGGACTGAGCATCTTACTTGAAAGGGTCTTCTGTGTTCGCTTCTGTTTCCATGTATTGCACATATGCCTGACGTTGTAGCAGAGATGGTACACATGATGAAGGAATCAGCAAATCTGCCCGAGGCAATTCCAGCAGAACAAATTGCAGTTTTCCATCTTCTTCCTTCGGGACAGTTTCTGAGAATCCTGAAAGCAGCTATTTCAATATGCAAATCTACCAAACATGATAAAGAATTTCATCATATAATTCAGGACAGTTCCACTGGATTGTTTTAGCAAGTGTGCATTGTGGTTCATCCAAAGCAAGCACATGCATCTGACCAGGATTCAAATGCTCAATACCCTTTTTAACACATTAATTGAATGCTGTATCATAGCAACAGAGTGTGCCCATGCTAGAACATTGGCATATGGGCAATTGGTTTTGGATGATATGTTTGTCTTGTTTTGCCAGTACTTCCTTCATGTGATATGACCAGTTTTACTCATGGTCAGGCTTTGTGTTAACACTATCTACATCCTGGGTGAAAGGTCCTTTTAAATGAGGCACATAATTACCCATCTTGCTAAAACAGGATTGGGGTACATTAGTATATACTGTGGGCTGTTTGGAAATGGTTTTCCTTGTTTGTGTGCATTCTTCAGCCAAGAGAACAACATGTGATGTTCCTTCCTCTTCAGCTGTTGGATGCTGCTGCAATAGTGAAATGCTGGTACCATCAAGTGGATATGTTGCTGTTGTAGAGCAGGGATTATGATAGATGTTATCTTTTGAGAATGTTGGTGGGTATACCACACCTTCGTCTTCATAAACACCACAAACTGTGATATATCTGTTGGAATACATCAGACAGTCATGCCAAATGCACAAACCCATATTGAAAATGTGTCAATAGGATAACGTTTTCTTGTTTAATACCAAGTAAACTGGGACTTGCATTTCTCGGTCTCAGTGGTGGCTTTGTGTTGATGAGTACGCTTTGGTGACAAGATGTTCTGAGATAGTTTGGGATGCTTGAGGATTGGATTTTTTTAATACCTGGTCCTTCAAATTTCATACTGACTGGAGCTTGCAAAGAGGCAGGTACCATCTGTTTATAGCAGTCAGAAGGAAGTGTTCCCCTGAAAGTTTGTTTCAACCTTAAAACACGTCTGCGGATAAGTGTTGCTCGTTTAGTTAGCCTTAATGATTCAGAATAAAAAAAGGCATGTTCCAGTGCTGGTCCAATATATTTATCAAATTCAAGTTCAGTAACAGAATTCAAATAAGTTCATGCAGTCTAATATATTCCCCAGATCTGCCTTACGGAATACAGATCTTGCTTCAAATGAATGAATTGTAGTAGCAAAAGATTATACATTCAGTAAAGCATTACTTGGAATTGTTTTAAAGCCTGATTTGATTGAAATGATTGCAATGAACAAATGATACTGATATTGTGGACAAACATTTGACATTTTTTGAAGATTAAGTCATTTTGGCGATCATCTTGGATTCTCTTCGCCACCAGTGGGCGCTGCATATTAGATTTGAATTATTAAACATTGTTGCAATTAATTTTACATAAATGACTAAAATTGACGAAATAATTATGATATATTGAATATGAATTGACATCTAAAGAGATTTTAACAATTTTTCGCGGTCATCTTGGATTTTCTACCACCAGGTGGCGCTGCTGAAATGGATCCATATCAAGAAATGTTTAGAATGGTTCAATGTGTGCCAAGTTTGGTGCTTTTAACCCAAAGTGCACAATGTTGACTAAAATCCAGCCTCAACCGCCCCACTAGTTCTTTCTTTAAGTTTTGGAAGAGTTGAGGTTGAAATCTGATGGTTCCCAATCTGGCTTGTATGTTTGTGGTTTAACGCCGTACTCAGTAATATTCCAGCTATATGACGGCGGTCTGTAAATAATCGAGTCTGGACCAGACAATCCAGTGATTGACATCATGAACATCGATCCACGCAATTGCAATACGATGGCATGCATCAACCAAGTCAGTGAGCCTGAACACCCGATTCCGTTAGTCGCCTTTTACTGCTACCAGGTGTTGCTGAAGGCCTGTTCTACCCCGGATCTTCACGGGTCAGAACTTTTCCGGCAACTCTCGTTCCTTTGTGCATAGACCGCGCGAAGTATGTCTGGGTAGTTGCATATCTTAGTCCTTCCAGAGTTCACTGATGAAGGGTTCAACTCCCATGATTTGTGGTCTGTCGGCACTGTGCCACACTTTGTGTTTTTACCCATCTAATAAACGTAATAACGCCTTGACCTGCCCGACATCACTATCCTCCCATGCACAACAAGCAGGCACCCGTGAGAATTCCTGATTAGAATGCCCCCCCCCCCCCCCCCCCCCCCCCCCCCAGTCATACAGACCCTAAAACAAATATATACAATACAGCCCATTCAAATCTATAATATTTGGCAAGTCTAGATTACTGCAGTATCGCAAAATGATGAGGAGTCTCTGAGCTCCTTTTATAACTATTTCATAACTATAATTTAACAACTGTTTTAATCTCTAAAATATGTTCATTTCAGAGACTAGATGTCAGTCTACCCCAGTACCTACACCTAACGTATGGGTGGTCGGGCTTGGCGACGTGGTTGATTGCCTGCCATCTTACCCTCACGGGTATATGTACTCATAACATCAAAACATGGAATATTGCCGAGTGCAGTTAAACAACAAACACGCTCCAGGGATATACACAAACAGGCTTCTGTTAGCGTACAAAGTACACGAGTCCACGAGTCCAACAGCGCATGACAGTGTACACGAGTCCAACAGCGCATGACAGAGTACACGAGTCCAACAACGTACGACGACAGGGGAACAAAGGAGGTTGGTGCTTCTTGCAGAGTGTGTTGTAAAGAGTGAATGTACCACTGCAGGTTCGGCCAGGACTACACAATACATTTGTCACATATAGTTACGACCGTGTTCTAAATTGTTTGAATAGGGCCACAACATTCAAGGTCGTAGTGAAACTTCCAAAACTTTAATAGTAGGCATGTGAAGGACATTCCAATTTTGACAAATCAGCGACAAAAATGATGTTCCCGTTTTGGAATGCACCATATATTCCTGGGTTTTCTTTTAGGTAAACAGTTGCCATGCCTTTGCTTGTGTTTATGACTGTTGCCAACGGTGGGGCAAGATACACTCACCTTTTCGCACCTGGTATCATTACTATTTGGTAGTGATTCATAAACACGTGCTTATGATATTGTCGGAGTCGTACAGTGGGCTCTGCTTTTGTCAGAGATTTCTTATGATTGTGGTTAGGGCTTTGTCACTTTTACTTGAATTTGTCTGACGCTTTATGGTGCATGCATTTGATATGAAAGGACCGGCATTATCGAGACAAATCTCTCAAAATATTCAAGAGGCTAGTTCTGTAGACGGGCTATAGAATGTTTCGTCGGCACTTTGGCGGGACATGAGTTTTAACAGGGAGTTTACATACGTTTTGTCCTCCTTGAGTTAAGCAAGTTGAATATGTCTATCAAATTAGGCTACAGCAGATGGGTTAAGTACCATGGCCAGCGGTTATGTGTGGCTCAGCTTGTCATTAAAGTTTGGGGTGGTGGGTAGCCAAGGGTGTCCTCCCTATTGGCCTACTTCCCATTTGGCCTACGCTTTTAGAGGATTTAATTACGGTAAGTAATCGGTTGGTTGATCACTCACTAATTACCCGTCTCCCCCAGAGTGATGAAAATGAACCAGTCCAACAACAGAGAAATACAAACTAACAGATTCTTTTTAATGTAATTTAATCAGGATTCCTACTGCATCTGCTAACGCCAAGGAAGATATTTCTCCTTGCTGGTGTCTGTCGCGTAGTCTGGACAGCTGACCATCGAGGTACACATATTTTCTCTTCCGCGGAGGAGGCTTGGCACCATGGGCCAGCTGGGCTAGATGTTTGGCGTGGCTAGCTTCAAGTGATTTCAAGACATCCAGGAAGCTGAACATTGTTGGATGGGCAGAGTTCATCTTGGCATTCAAGTGGCTGCGCCAACCTTCCAGATGATTATTAGTTCTTGGACCAACATTGTGACGGTGACTCCAGATTTCAACACCAAATCTAGCATCATCCCCAACCCAGTTTGACGCGACATTATCATTGAACAGTTGAAATGCAGGACTCTCAACCTCAGCCTGTTCTAAAGCCTCAATAGCTTCGAACCATACGTCCTGAACATTCAAAGTCTATTTGTATTGTCTCCGGGTCGACCACCTCTCCGTGACTGAAGAATCCTGTGTGAAATAACAAGAGCTAATTAAGCTCAAACCAAACCATTTTTGTCAATAGGGGTGTAGGTTGTTTAAAATAATCTGTGGTAGGCCAAATGGGAAAGGTCATTTCTGTTTCTTTAGGCCATATGGGACTTAGGCCAATAGGGGATGCACCTAGCCAAGTGGTTAAAGCGTTCGCTCATAAAGCCGAAGGCCCGGGTTCCATTCCCAACGTGGGTACAATATCAATACAATACTCATTCTGCTCCGGAATTAGGACGAAAGTTGTGATAGTTCAGTTTGGGTACATCGGGGTATTGTTTTGTATGTTTGTTGTTTAATGCCGCGCACAGTAATGTTCCAGCTGTATGACGGCGGTATGTAAATAATCAAGTCTGGACCAGACAATCCAGTGATTAATATCATGAGCATCGATCCATGCAAATTTGGATACGATGACATGCATCAACCAAATCAGCGAGCCTGACCACCCATTGGTCGTCCCATGCGATAAGCATAGTCGCCTTTTACGCGACAAGCATGGGTTGCTGAAGACCTATCCTCTTCCTGGATCTTCAGCGTCCTATGTTGTTATTGTTCAATGTGAGTGGTGAAGAAAGCCTCTCCAGATGGTCATATAAATACCAGTGACATAGTGAACGTGTCTTTGAAGGTATTTAGAAGTGATACACATAAGGAAGAGAATATATGGATGTCAACTTCTTTATTATGAGGAACGGGGCGGTCGGGTAGCCTAGTGGTTAAAGCGTTCGCTCGTCACGCCGAAGACCCGGGTTCGAATCCCGACATGGGTACAATTTGTTAAGCCCATTTCCGGTGTCCCCCGCCATGATATTGCTGGAATATTGCTAAAAGCGTCGTAAAACCATACTCACTCACTCACTATTATGAGGAACACAATGTTTCGGAGTATATACTTACTCCTTCATCAGGTGAATGAATGCCATGAGGCAGAGCGCATATATATGTACAGGTAAGGACAACAAAATTAATAAGATAACAAAAGGTGGAAAAAAACAATGGGTAGAAACTAACAAGGGAAGCCAACAGATGATTGGCGCTGATAGGTGATTAACAATAGACAATGGAAGCCAAAACTTTACAGTAATTAGCGCTGATAGTATGGAAGCCAATAGTCTACTGAAGCTTCATAGATAAGTAATAGGTAATGGACATTCTTTCACCTATCAGTGCTAATTACCAACGGCCTCCAGTTTGCCCAGTGTCCATTACCTATATGTTATTTTCCTTATAGTGAAGGGGACACGGGTGGCCCAGTTGTCTAAGGCGCCCCGATTCGCTGTGCAGAGTTGCGTCCCTTGATCACGCTAGAAACCTATGATTGTGGGTTCGAATCCCGGTTCGCCCCGATTATGTTTCTAGGTTTGTCAGCACCATACCCGTGCTCGTGGGTTTCGCCGAAGTGGTAAACGTCTGAGACCTGCATCACTTGGGCTTTCCTCCCACATTAGCTGACACGCCGCGATATAACTGGAATACTGTTAAAAGCGGCGTTAAACCCAACTCACTCACTCACTTCTTATAGTGAAAGTAGTAAAGTCTGTACTGTTATGTAGATCCAGGGGTTCGTTGTTTCAGTAGAGTGATGGGAAGATGAAGCCGACATGTGAACACTAATAATGCAAACAGTAAAACAAGGGATGGAATAAACTATCAATGGCAATCAACAAGGGTGCTAATTAGCAGTGTTAACAATGTAATTAGTGCCCTTTCCAGTGGATACCGGTGGATTTAGCCTGCCTATTGTTCTCCGCAAGCAGTTAGAATTAGCATATAGGCGCAACCAAAACTTGAATTTGAACAAATTAAGCGAGTTTTTATAACTTTCTAAATTGGAAGATTGGCGCTGCCCTGAGTTAGACACATTGTAGCAATATATCTCATTAAATTTGTTAATCTTATATAAAGTCAGGGAGAATATAAAGTTTGATAAAGAACTGAAAAATACACCTTACAAAACAATATACTATTTCTGCTGTAGTACTCAGATATAACATCTTGCTAATAACAGGAATAACTATAAACATAAGGCTCGAAATACTCCATCATTCATTAGTCAGTTAATATTTTACATCATCATTTTCAAAGTTTAACAGAGGTGAATTAACATTCTGACATAAATCTATTTCCCAAATAACCACAAGAAGGAATCCGATCTCATGTGAATCAATTAGTTCAGGGGAGGTAACCGCTATTCTCTGCGCACTAAATAATTTTTGCGCATGCCTGCGCATGTTGTTACCCAAAACAATAATGGCGGACCTTAGTTTCCAGTCAGAGTAACAGTCATGGAGTTAACGTGTGAAATATGGGTTTTTAAACCAGTGTATGTGGAAACATACTGACAGTTTTGAATTCTGTGTTTCTTTTGGATTTCACATAGAAGTAACAAGAAGAAATGCTCTCCGGCGGCTATTCGTATCCTTCAATGGCGTTGATAGTTTGAATGACTGAAAAAACCCAGTCATATGTCATGATTTCGGTTAGTTTATCCATTGTGACATTACATTTTCCGTTTAATATTTCGCACATTTCAAAGTTATAATATCCTCTACTGTTTTCCCACTAAACCCATAGTAGTGATTGTTTGATACGTCATCTATTTTCAGAAAAAGTAACCTTTTGGGGAATAATATGTCATAGACTGCAGTATTCTTTTCAGATACAGAGTCGGACCCTTTTTACATTTACACTTGAAGAAACAAATTTGTGGGTTGTGGTTTTGAATCTTTAACTTCAGTAGTATGACTGTGTGTGTGAGGTTGTGTGTGGTCAGACAGTCAGGCTTGTTTTGTTTGTTTGTGGTTAACCATGTTGATGCTGCCCTTAGCAGTATTCCAGCTAGGCTCAATGACAGTCTTTAAGTAATCGAGTATTTACCAGACATCCAGTGATTGACATGATGAGCATTGATCACACAATTGATGAGACTTGTAAGTGCAGCAGGTTCACCTCTTCGGTCATGTGGACAAGGCGTCCGATCTTGGATCAGGAGGTCCTTGGTTTGAATGCCATCAGGGCAATATGTTAGTTTGATTTTGGTGAGGGTACATTTGTGTATAGTGGGAGGTTCCTCGGGTACATTTCTGTTGTACATGTGCAGACAGTGACCCCAACAGCTTTGAGACGAGGTGAGGTATAACATCGCTTTCAAGAATATTTCAATTTTATTATAATGATGTACATGCACGCGTGTGTGAGTCTGATTATGTTAGCACTGATCCTTAACAACAGGTTGTTTGTTGTTTAATGACACAATATTCCAGCTACATGACGGTGGTCTGTAAATAATTTAGTCTGGGGTCAGTTCCACAAAGCTATCGCAGCACTAAGGTAACTCCCATACTTTAACATAGACCTATGCCTGTCGTTGCGCTAAGATCGCCTTGTAGAACGGGGGCCCTGGACCAGACAACCCAGTGATTGATGTCATAAGCATCAACCCACGCAAATAGGATAAAATTGGGATAAAATGACATGCATCAACCAAGTCAGCAAGCAAGACCACCCAATCCTGTAAGTCACCTCCCACGACAAGCATAATCACCTCTTATGACAAACATGGGTTGCTGAAGACAGATCTTCACTGGTCCTCAACAGCTAGCCAACAAACACAGGAAAATTGACTGTATGCATTTGTATGGATAATATGGTGGGGTAGCCTAGTGGTAAAAGTGTTCGCTCGTCACCGAAAAACCCAGGTTTGATTCCCCACATGGGTACAATGTGTGAAGCTCATTTCTGGTGTCCCCTGCTGTGATATTGCTGGAATATTGCTAAAGGCATCGTAAAACCATACTCACTTAGGTAGCTTGAAATAGCATTTGCTCCCGAAACCCTCAGATGTTTTTGAAAGGAAGCTAAAAATAGCACTGAGAACTTACACACCATTACAAAGGAAATGCCCAAATGGCAGAAGGTATCATGTCATTGGGATCAACATAGGATTTTAAATACAGGATGGGTATCAAGCCTCATGCCCTCCCCATTGGTTTCTTTGGTCCAGATTTGATATTTTTCTATAGCCAGGTGCGCGAAAGCTATGCCCGATTTTTTAAAAGTACTGATTTAATTTTACTGCATCTGCCATCTTGTTTATTTGACCTATTGACTTTTGCCATTGACTTATTACATTTCTTGGTGTGAATGTTGTCCAAACTGCACGAAATTGCTTAAAATGCAATCAAATGTTTTAAAAATTTATGGGGGGGCATGCCCCCAGACCCCCCTAGACTTTTCCTCTTTTTTTGGGAAAACCTGCTCACATCCCTGATCATTATTATCAAAATATTTTAAGAAATCTTATAAAATTACATTAATGGCAAATTAACATGTGGGTCAAGTATTTCGGACCACTAACTTTCTAAACCTGTAAGAACAACCTTACCACTGTCATCACCTTAACCACTGTGCCAGAAAGTGCTACCAGACCCTGGAGAGAGAGCAGGTGAATCATTTGAAGACCATGAAGCAGGTAGAAAAGGGAGACATCATTGCCCGCACCAGGCGACTGACCCAGGAGACCAACAAGAGGAGGAAGTAAGTCAGCTGTGCCAGTAGCAAGTGTGTTTTGTTTGTTTGTTTGTTTGTTTGTTTGTTGTTTAACACGGCCCTCGGCAATACTACAGCTTCATGATGGCGGTCAGTAAATAATCGAGTGTGGGCAGACAATCCAGTGATTGACATCATGAGCATCGATCCATGCAATTGGGATATGATGACATGCATCAACCAAGTCGGAGAGCCTGACCACCCAATCTCTTTGGTTGCCTCTTCAACAAGCATTATGAGCTTAGTCGTCTTTTTACGGCAAGCATGGGTTGCTGAAGAGCTATTCTAACCCCGATAGCAAGTGTGGGGCTGAACTGTCATCAAGGGCCCAAGGGCAGTGGGGTAGCCTAGTGGTTAAAGCGTTCACTCTTCACCCTGAGGCCTAGGCTCGATTCCCCTCATGGGTACAATGTGTGAAGCCCATTTCTGTTCCCCTGCCGTAATATTGCTGGAATATTGCTAAAAGCGGCATGTAATCAAACTCACTCACTGCCTCATTTTGCAAAGCAGTCTTAGCACAGTGAGACTTCACTCACTCACTCACTCTCACTGCCCAATTCTACAAAGCAATCTTAGTACTGTGAGACTCCACTCACTCACTCACCCACTGCCCCATTCTGCAAAGCAATCTTAGCACTGTGAGACTTCGCTCACTCACTCACTCACTCACTCATTCACTCACTCACTCTACAAAGCAATCTTAACACTGTGAGACTTCACTCACTCACCCACTCACTCTACAAAGCAATCTTAGCATTGAGACTTCACTCACTCAGTCTACAAAGCAATCTTAACACTGACTTCACTCACTCACTCACTCTACAAAGCAATCTTAGCACTGTGAGACTTCTCTCACTCACTCTACAAAGCAATCTTAACACTGACTTCACTCACTCACTCACTCTACAAAGCAATCTTAACACTGAGACTTCACTCACTCACTCTACAAAGCAATCTTAGCACTGTGAGACTTCACTCACTCACTCACTCACTCACTCAATCTACAAAGTAATCTTAACACTGAGACTTCACTCACTCACTCATTCTACAAAGCAATCTTAGCACTGTGAGCCTCTGACTTGCAATTGGATGAGAAATGTATTGTAGTAATGATCTAATCCCTAGTGGTGCAATACTGTGCCATGTGGGATGGGATGCTGATTCAATCTTGGGCCGGACAGTGTAATCATGTCCCAGTGCCACACCAGACCTAGCAGGACTGACTGGTATTGCAAGGAAAGCCATCAATGATATTGGTTCGAAAGCTCAATTAACCAGAAACATTTTGAAATAAGTGTCACAGCCATGCATTGAAGTAACCATGGTGTTGCAACCATTTTTTGTATTGCAGAGCGCAGGCCCAGAAAAGGAAGTATGAGGTGAAAAGAGAGGAGAGAAGGAGACAGGAAATCCTGAACCAACGTCACGAGGAACAGCAAAGGGCCACAGAGAAGTACCAGCGCTCCACCATCCCCTCCAGCAGATCAAGCAGCCGTAGGTCCTCCCCAACACACACAACCACCGGGATAGAAGAAGCCTTGAAGCTCATCAGAGGAACTCCACCACTCTCACGACAGAGCAGCCTCACATCAACTGGCAGTCACAAAGGGAAGACCTCTCCTCGAGCATTTGGGACATACAACCACGATCCACTAAATCGACCTTACTTTAACAAGTACTCCAGTCTACATTTGAGACCACAGTCTCCATCCGAGCGTGCCCAGGAACATGCAGATCTGCGTGACAAGTCGCTGCGGAACTATACCGACAGCCGGAGTCTGTTTGAGCAGCAGCTGGAGCAGCATCAGCAGCTTCTTTTGGAAGATCAGAAAAAGTCCCTCCACATCTTCAACCAGGCCATTCAGCGTGAGATGGATGCAGATGCCAAACTGGAAGGCACTGAGGAGGATGAGGAAGAAATGTCATGGATGAATCGAAGTGACAGTTTGTCTAGTGTTGACAGTCTAGATGTTTCCAGAGAGTCAGTCGGGAAAGACAGACCTCAAACAGCAAGTGCAGCCACAAGGTCCAGATCTTATCCTAGACCTGTCCCACCTAAGGCCACACCAATTGTTGGGAGAGTGGCTCCAAATAGTGCTAGTGTTAACATGACAGATGACTCCTTAGAGTCAAAACCATTCCAAGTGGAATATCATGCCAAACCTCCTGCAACGAATTATGACAGAGGTGCAGTTATTGGGCCGATTTTAAACAATAGGAATCAGGAACTGTCTTTTGTTCTTCATCCTCAACACCAGGAAACGTCTCATTCCTCAGCTGTGGTGATGGGCCAGCAACATCAGATGCACCAGATGGGGCATGCAGCAAGTACAGGGGGTTACCCTGTTCAGCTGGCGCAGTACCCCAGCCATGTAACCTCCAACCTTCCCATCTTCTCGCCACCCACCTTGGCAGACAACACAGGGGTGCTGAATCAGCCCAGTACAAGTGCTGGGTATGTTCTACCATCGAGTCTGAACCAGAAACACGATTACTCCCAGGCTACCACGGTGTCTACACTCTCCCTCACCAATCCCAGCAGTCAGAGCAGTCCATCGTACACACCGGCGCCTGTCTGCCAACAAAACCTACCCCCTGCAGCCAGCGCTGTGGACCCGCCACCATCAAACCCAACGCCGGTTTCCTCTACACTGGCAGCAACTGTCTGCACTACAAGTTCCCGCCCACGCCCTATTCCTGCTGTTGCGCAAACAGGAAGCAAACACAGTGTCAGCAGCACAACTCCATCAAAGGGGACAGAAGCGGGGAATATTGTTAATGGAACTCTTGGACTGGTTCATGGTAAGCTGTCAATTCTTGCCAATATTGAGGCAGTAGCCAACGGTAACCAGCCAAGCAAGGAACCAGGCGTCCAGACGACCAAAACAATGCCTAAGAAATCTGCTTCTGATTTTGAAGCTAGAGAGGTAAAAGGTATTCTGAAAAGGCCAGAACCCAGCAAACTGAAGAAGGTGGCATCCACAGGAAACTTGCAGAACACTGGACTACGAGTGAAAGACAGCATCGAGGTTGCCAGGGGTAACCACAGATCTGATCAAAGCAGAAAAGGAAAAGGGGTGAGGGATCTTTTTGTAGCTGAGCTTTGGGATTAACATGACATTTGACCCTTGAACTTACACTTTAGGTGCATGACTCCTTGTCCTCCATGACAATAATCTTATGGTGTCTATACAATGGGTGCTACTTCCTCCCACTCCTGTTTCATAGTACTTATTCAGCATGTTCAGCGTTAGAAATTGGCACTAGTCCTTGCCAAACCATCTTCCTGAGGCAAGAGAGTTAACTGACTATAAATGTCCAATTTTTTAACTTATCCTGCATTACTCCGTATTGCATTTACTGCTATGTTTGACAGAGAGACGAACTGTGTGAGATCCAGCTGCTGAAGAAAGTTGTCCCAACCAGCCCAGGAGGCAGCGCCCTCTCACAGTCGGCACGTGACCCGGAAGTCATGACGTCACACCAAAAGACATAACTGCTTTGTCACCTCCACGGACGGACGTACTTTGTATCCCTTGTGGAAATTAAAGCTTATTATTTGTTTTTTATATTTTGCGTGTTTCTACATTCATTATATGCTGCTACATTGTTACCTGTTATGGGCCGTGACCTTAGGGTCTTCCCATTCGTAAATTGTAACGTTTATCGCTCGTCTGTGGCTCACGTCACAGTAATTTACGGGCGCAATGTTGTTCCCGCCATTTTGTTTTCTTTCCCGCCATTTTGGCCATTCACCACGTGGCCACGTAATGTCGTGTTCTGCGTTTTGAATTCTCTCTTTGGCTTGGGTAATACATTACATTTATGTATGTTGTTTTGGTGTGCTTAAAGCCTTGCCTTTTCGCTACCTCTAAGCGTAATTGTTTCTTCTCATAAACTTCAATATAATACGAAGTTTATGAGTTACATTATGTCTCCCGTACTCTGTGGTTTTGCCACATGGTTACGTGTTTGCTTAAGGCTTTGCCTTTTCGCTCCCTTTTAGCGTACTTGTTTATCTCATAAACTTTAATAAAATATACTGTTTTTGAGTTACTTTATGCTTCCCATACTTTGTGATTGGCCACACATTATGCTTCCCGCACTTTGTGGCTTTGCCACATAGTTATGTTTTGCTTAAATTCCAGATTTTCTGCCTCGCTGCACTTGTTGCCGCGGGAACAAATCTGGCCGGGGCCGCCCCTTTCTGCCGTGATTGTACGACGCCCTGTACTTTCACAAGGCAGTGCCGATGTTGCAGTCATTCGTCGCTGTGATCCTTCAGCTCATGCGAGTATCCAGGACACACCTCGCTCAACGTGCTCGTCGACCCCCACCTACGTTGACGGCAGCAGCGCTCAGCGGAGCTTCACGGCGGCTCCCAACGTAGAGTCTGCCTCCCATGGCACGACATACGACCGTTCACGGTCTCCTACTCCACTGGCGGCTCCAGCGCTCCCAACGTAGAGTCTACCTCCCATGGCACGACATACGACCGTTCACGGTCTCCTACTCCAGCGGCGGCTCCAGCGCTCCCAACGTAGAGTCTGCCTCCCCTGGCACGACATACGACCGTTCACGGTCTCCAACACCGTCAACGCTGATGTCTCCGGCGCCCCCGCGCCCCCGGCGCCTCCGGCGCCTCCGGCGCCTCTGATGACACGGCGCTCCCGGCGCCTCCGGCGCCTCTGATGACACGGCGCTCCCGGCGCCTCCGGCGCCTCTGATGACGCGGCGCTCCCGGCGCCTCCGGCGCCTCTGATGACGCGGCGCCTCCGGCGCCTCTGATGACACGGCGCCTCTGATGACACGGCGCTCCCGGCGCCTCCGGCGCCTCTGATGACGCGGCGCTCCCGGCGCCTCCGGCGCTTCTGATGACGCGGCGCCTCCGGCGCCTCTGATGACACGGCGCCTCCGGCGCTTCCGATGACGCGGCGCCTCCGGCGCCTCCGGCGCCTCCAATGACACGGCGCCTCCGGCGCTTCTGATGACTCGGCGCCTCTGACTCGGCGCTCCCGGCGCCTCCGATGACTCGGCGCCTCTGATGACTCGGTGCCTCCGGCGCTTCCGATGACTCGGCGCCGCTGATGTCTCGGCGCTCAACAAGCTTCATGACTTGTTCATGACAAGCTGATGACTCGGCGCTCCCGGCGCCTCCGATGACTCGGTGCCACCGGCGCCTCTGATGACTCGGCGCCGCTGATGTCTCGGCGCCTCTGATGTCTCCGCGCTCCGGCGCCTCCGCATCCTCTGATGTCTTCGGCGCTCAACAAGCTTCAGATCAACAAGCTTTATCAAGCTCAGATCAACGAGCCGACCATCCGATCTTCTACTGCGGCTTAAGGGGCACCATCGGCAATCGCCTCCCCGGCGCCACTGCCCTCTTCTCTTGCTGCCGTCTCATAACTCGTCACACGGAGAAGCATGGTGAAACAACTGTCGCCGCTCCTGTCGCTACTCTCCCGTCGGTCTTCGGGATCGTGACTATCGTACTACTTCCTGGGTGGAATCATTTCAACCAATAGACAGTTGGTCTGATTCAGCTTGCCCACTGAGACGTTATCCATAATCCCGTCGTTTAAAGCGCTATGATTCCGGAGAGATGACCTGCGGGTTTCCATCGAAACAGAGCGCCATGTGAACAGCGTCTGTATCAGATTCGATGACGACATCCACTTACAAAGAGTTTACTTCGTCGACATCGCAGACATCAACGCTGTTCTACCCTACCCTAGCGCCAGCGTTCCTGAGAGAGACTCTTCCTCGGCGCTCCCCGGGTTTTACACGACGCCCATGGGGTTCCGTGTTTTATCGCAAAACTCGGGTACACCACTTGATCGTCTCTCACACAGTTCATTGAGGATTGTCTGTGTGTGGAGTTTGCACCTCAGTTCCGACTCCAAGGCGGTTTTCTCGGCTACTGCGCAGAGTGATTTACATGTCACGTGTCAAGTACTCGGACTGTCAACAACTCCGACCGGATTTAGGTCAACTTACCATGGCAAGGGGTGCCATGTATTTCTACAGATTGGTTTCCATGTCTACCTGTACGCTTGGTGATACCACTCAACCAGGCGCCTGTCGCAGTCCATCCATGCACGGATGTTGGAAACAATAGACCTCCTCTACCAACACGGCTGTCACGAGGAACCTTGTTTCATCATTCTCTTTCAGATTAAATCCTCCTTGGGGCACTTATTGCATTTTCCTGGCTCAAGAAAATCTACATGACATAGTTGTAACCATTTTCCTTAATAAAAATTGTTACCACACAAAAAACTTTGTTTTTGTATGATATACGTCCACCCTTATGGTGCCTCACCCTCCACGGCGCGTCACGCCAAGGGAAGCAACTCTCACCCAAATCACTTTCCTTATGTCATCTGACAAAGACAGACGTGCTGTTTTTTTCAAGACAATATAAAGACAAGATTATCGTTTGTACAAGAACCATGGCAGACCAAACTGTATGTATGGTACATTTCTTTCATGCAAAGGCGTAATACCTCGCATTGTAAAGTTATAAAGTTGTAATTATGTGACACGTGTACGATACCTTTGAAATAAGGCCGTCGTAGCGTCCATTTTGTAGTGCCACGTATGATATATGTAACACCAGGGCCATCAAAAACGGCTTCGGTTTTTTAATCTATATCATCGGGCTTTAGCCTACAATCTTTTCCTTTAAATAAACCCAAGGTGGTGTGTTAATTATTTTAAATTACACTTACCTTTTTTACGGGTTTTCTACACCTTCGCGCGTAACACGCCCACTTTGGTGTTATAATTATACTACGACATTGGCTATTAGTATCGCGTTACCAATCGCATTCTAAATTACGCCTTTGCTTCTAGTTACACAATTTATGCACGTATCTTTCCGATCTTTCAATCGCACTGATACACTTTATTACCCTTCCCGCCAAACTCAAAAATTACGGTCTTTTTTACAGACCTTCAAACTGTGTACGGGGTGCTCGGCTTCGATTCCCCCCCAAGACAGGCATGATACCTGCATAAAGTGTTTGGCCGAAGACGGGCATGACGATGGGTCATGCCCGATCTGTGTTGCATTTACACCACGGGCGCAAAAAAAGAGAAATGTGGACCTCTTACACTTTAAGGGTCTATTGAAGGCGGGGGTGGACATTAGGTCGGCAAAGACCGCCCCGCCCCCCTCAAAAAAAGTAAGAAAGGGTAAAAAGGCAGCTGAGACTGTCTCCTCCGCTCCCTCCCCGGGGGCCGGGGGAGAAGGCTCTAGGGTCCCCGTCACAATCACTGCACCCTCTCCTGCACCGTCTTTGGCAGACATCTCTGCCTTGTTGAGGTCGCAGATGGCGTCGATGATGGAGGAGGTAAAGTCTCAGCTCCGAGAGGAGTTGCGGACCGAGCCTTCCCCGTTGTCGGCGCCGGACGCGGCTTCGAGACCTTGTGATATGCCCGGCGTCGGCCGAGGCAGGCCACTTGGTCTCGGGGACGAACTCAGACCGGGCTTCGGCGCCGGCTCGAGGTCGCTCCCCAGCGGAGGGGTGGCGGGCACTGGCCCGTTCACTACCGACGCACAGTTCTCCCTAGCGGAGCCAGACGCCTCTTCCGAGGCCGAGGCTTCCTCTAGCGGATTTCTAGCCCAGAGCCAGGTGGGTTCCCTTGAACCCCCGGCACCTCGGGACCGGGACTCGGCTTCGGGCCGGGTGCAGCCCGGGGATGCGAAGGCCCAGGCCTTCGGGCGTCCCCTTCCGACTTCGTCTGCCTCTTCTCTCGGGGAAGAGTCGATTAATTTCGGCTCGGAATCGAGAGAGGAGGAGTGGATGGAGGAGGGGGGAGACGACTCGGAGACCTCGGGAATATTTTCCTTCGTTTCCTCGTTGAGGCATGTACGGGACAAAATTGTCCAGGTACTGCCTCAGGTGGCTGCGCCCATGCCCCAGTCGGATCCGACTGAGTTCCGCCTTCCGGGGGACGCTTTTGCTCCGAGCAAGGCGCCCCAGGTGCGGCTCCGTATTCTGTCTTCATTGGTGCATGAAGTCATCAACCCTCTGTTGTCGGGTGCCCGCAGGAAGTTCGACCTGCCCGAACT